AAATTTGGATTAAAGATGCCTAGGGACTTTCCCCCATCAATATTTTGTGTCCTTACTCTGGAGCCCTGTTCTGATAGAATGATGTGTCTCCTTTAGCTGCATCGCTTTCTGAAGAACATCCAATTTCACAATCCTGCTGGAGACCAAGTGAACTTGGATAACAGAAGGAAACTGGACTCAGAGTATGACATTCTCAATTACTGGAATTTTCCAGGAGGCCTTAGACTGAAGGCTAAAGTAGGAACATTTTCTTCACATGCTCCACATGGCCGAAAACTGACTTTATCTGAGGATATGATAGAGTGGGCCACAGGAAGTACAGAGGTATGTTGTACCTATCATGGCACGCTTGCTTAAGCAGAAGAGAACTAAACACCGTCATAGGTTTTCTGCCCCCAGTTTTGGTCATATAATGGTCATATGTGGATACTGAATAACAATAGTAAGTTTTGAATATAAATGATTGTTTAGAAGCTTTTCAATGAGTGGGAAAGTAATGCACTTACTTAATAATATTTTGACAAGTTCCTATGTCATATTATGAAATTTATTTCGCATTCAATTATGTAACCTTGCTCATGTTGCAAATCAAGTTTATATCTTTCAATCTGAAGAGGCAAGTAAGAGTCTAAGAAGTTACTACCATATGTGTTTTTCCTCAGACTCCCCGCTCGGTATGCAGTGCGAGCTGCAATCCTGGACTTAGAAAAAGCCCTCAGGAGGGAAAGGCTGCCTGCTGTTTTGACTGTACCCCTTGTGCAGGAAATGAGATCGCCAATGGCACAGGTAGGAGCACGTCCTGTGGACGCACTCTCACTTTATTTTATATTCACTCCATGCATCCAGAAAATGGAAAAATCTTCTGGAAAGCACCAATGATAAAAATCTTCCTTCACTTATCAAAGTATTTGTTATACTAAGTGCTACTGCCTGGTTAGAAAACACATTTTCCCCTTTGAAATGCACTCTAATTCATTTTCCTCGTATTTCACTCTTATTCATCATTTTGTTTGCCTTTCCCACTGCTAGGAATTCAATGACAATGTGCTCTATCCACGATCTATGTCCTCCGATATTCTTTTATGTTATTATGAGACAGGATATCACTGATTTGCCTCAGCCTGCCTCAAAAATTCAATAGACAGATCTCTGCCCGCTAATTATCTGGAATAATACATAGGCACCACCACACCTGACCACATTTATTTATATTTCTATTCCCAGGAAAAGCAGTGTTTTCTCAAGAAATGCCTGTTTCCCTACCCCACAGCCTCTAAGTTCCATCTCCATCATGTGTTTTAACAGGGTAGGGTTCAAGCCACCTCTGTAGAACTACAGAAAGTTCACAATCAAGACAAGGTCAGGCACACTTCATCACCCAGAGCCTGACAGTATTCTTCACACAGAGTGAGTTTGAGTGCAGATGGGGGATTTCTTTGATGTGCAACATGCTCATAGCCCAGCACATTCAGTTCCTATGATTTAATCTCCATTGTGCTAGAATGCATAGGTGAGTGGGGAGACAGAGTATGGATTAATTCGAGTCTGTACCACAGAACTGCAAGGATGATAGGCACCCAGATTAGGGGATTTAACAAGTGAGAATATCTACATTTCAGGAGGGTGTCATAGGCATTTTTACAGAGGTGACAGCATTGGTATTTCATCACAATAAAAGAGGTGGCATTAATCCTTTTAGGATTATTATAAGTGGCCATCATGGCATAGTCACCTTTCATGGAATATTCAAATATCATGAAGGAAAATACCATGTTATTAAAACACAGATAAAATGAGGATGAGGAATGAAACCTATGCCTTTAAATTGATAGAAATCTAATGTAGAAGATTATTGCATACCATAAATACCAGTTTGTAAGTAGTTAGCTTACTTATAAATGATGACATGGTGGAATCATCTTCCTACTGAATATTATGCAATGTGAATTCATGGCTGATGTAAATTTTGTTTTCAAAACATATTTAGTATGCTTTTCAATGCTCTCTGCAATACATCAAGATAATTCTGTACTGTATCATGTAGTTATTTTCAATATATATTTCCATAAATTGTAGGAATATGGTACTTTATACAAATATTGTATGTTAACTTGTAGAGAACAATGCACCCAATATCAGTTAATACATGCTTCCAGTATGTATAACACTCAGTCATACATACTATGTAGAATAGATCAAAGCACAAATTAAAGATCATGTGCGACTAAAAATCCTGTGTGTCAAAGCTGAAACTACACTGAGACAAATCTTCATTCTATATTCCATTTGCTTCTGTGCTGGTCCTTATTTAAATAAAAATGCTGCAGTTCTTCCTTTGAAATGTTCATCACACACTACAAAAAGTACAGCAAATTGAACACAAGAAAATAAAAGATGGGATACAGTCTGAAAGGAATTTTTAGAAGATGAAGACAGAGAAAATAAAAGTTACTGTGATTCTGGTAGTAAAATTTGACAACTCAGTACAACTGATCAAGAAGAGAAAAACTGAAAGGTTGTCTATCTGGAGAACTTTGTCCATTATTACTTTTATATAGAAACTTTTCATATGAAAATAGAAGTCATTTCACAACAATCTATGCCTTCAAATTTGTACATTCACAGGAACCTTTAGCAAAAATGCCTTGAAATTTATATAGTGACAGGAAAATTTAGCAAAATAGTCCTCAGAAAAAATAAAATTTACCATAGTAATCGTATCTCTACGTTACTATGTTTATTACCTAACGGGAGCCCACAGTGTAGTATTTCACTCCAAATTTTTATTGATTAATAACATTAGCAGTGAAATGTATATGCACTCCAAAACATATTAATTCTGACGTGATTCTTTCAGGAAAAAGGGAAAGAGGAAAATCAATTCATCTTAAGACAGGAACTAGATCGTCTTACTCATAGCTGAAAATGCACTTAGAAGAAATAAAGTTCATAGTGCACTATCCTTTTCACACTAAATTCACATATTCTATGTCAAATGGAGGTACGTGCTTCAGGGGCAGCATACCATGAGCAAACTCAGTTTATTAAATATGATTCAAGGCACCAGGTCATGGGAAAAATAAAGCAATGCTAATGCATGCAGACAATATCATAAAATTGTACATCACTGTGATTCAGAAAGAAGCAACACAAGTATTTCTTACCAGATAGGTGAAGAAAAGTCTCTAACTGCCCCTCAGAAATGGTATTTATCATATGCTATAGCTCACATTACAATTTGTGCTCCATTTCTGAAAGCAGGAATGGGATAAGAACTTTCTGTGTCATACTTCTGCCAGACGTTACACTCTATATCATGGTCAGTGCAATGAAGAAAACACACAAACACAAAAATGTATTAGAAAGGGAGAAACATGAATGACACGAATTTAAAGCGATCCTAGTTTTTAAGTATAAAATCCATGTAAATGACTAAAATGATACTGCATTGCTTGGTTATGGAAGACAAGACTATCGAAAGAAAAACCATTTCCACACCTCAGTCGCAAGGCACTCATAGATAAAAACTTGAGAATTGATTTCTGTAATGTTTACAGTCATTAAATATGTACTAATATATCCTGTAGTGATGTGAAAGTTGAGAGAATTAAACTATTGAAATACCCTTTTCACAATAAAAATCATGATGCAGAAAGCGCATTCATAGATGGAGAGGCTCAGTACAGGAACTACTGAACATTCAATATGCTTCTTCACATGTATTTCCCCGGGTCTTAGCAAGTCATGTTGGCTTCCTAATATGAGGTATTTATAGGATATCTGGGGAATCATTGGTAAAGATTTCATTTAGATCAAATTAGTGAAGTAAGTGATAAAAGTTGATCCTCTCCTACTCTTTAAAAATAGAATGTTTTCATGGATATGTCAGATTTAAAAGGAGCATAAATAACAAATAGGAAGTATTCTCTTTACACTGTTCCTTTATTTTGCTATAGAAAGAAATGTAAAAGTGAGGTGGGATGATGCATGCTTGGAATCCAGGGCTCTGGGAGGCTGAGGCAGAAGGATTTTAACACGGAACACAGCATAATGACTTAAGGGGATCCTTTCTGAAAATAGCAAACTTGAAAAGATTGGAATGTATGTCAGTGCAAAGTTCCGGAAGTCAATCCCACATACAGAAAAACAAAGAGAAAGAAAGTAAAAAAGAAAAAATTAAAAAGCCACAGTTCAGTTAAGGAAGTCCAATGAGTTTCTGAGGAGGAGTCTGTAAAAAAAACTAGTAATAAACTTAGGCAATTGACAATTTTAATTTCTGCTAGACATGGAGCAGTGTGTGAAGTGTCCAGATCACC